ATGTGATTTGTCCTTTTCATGTGTGTTCATTTTTTTAAAATTGTATCCTTTGGTATATATGGTTGTGACTATTTTCTTCCATTATTTGATCTGAGGAAGTGGGTCTGGCCCACGAAAGCTCATCATCTAATAAACCATCTTGTTAGTCTTTAAAGTGCTACATAGTCCTGGATTTTGTTTCAGCTACACCAGACTAACACGGCTACATCTCTATCATTATACCACTAGAAGGCATGCACAGACACAGACACACACCCACACCTCTAGAGGGCATGCACAGACACACACACACCACGAGAAGGCATGCACACACATGTACGCTCACACACATATACCATTAGAGGGCGTGCACACACATGCACATACACATACCAGTGTGCTCCCCCAGCAGTGGAGGGCCCAGATCTATTCTAAAGAGTGTCTCAGTGTCTCCCTCACCCCCAGGAGACCCCTAAACCAGCCCAGCAGCACGCAGGGCTCTGGGGCGCACACAGGGGCACTAGCCGACAGCACAGCCAAGGGACAGAGTCTCTCACCTCCAGGGATAATGTTGCATTCCCCTCTCCACACTCAGACTTCAAAATCCTTAAGGTCGAATTGAGGAAAGAGCAGAATCCGCTGCTGCTCCCGCGCAGCTCTCCCTGTGGAGAGACCCAGGCAGAGGGTGAGTTCCGCGCTGGAGGGGACCCACACTGCGATTTGGCTCCTGCAGGGGCCTGAGTCTGTCACCCCAGTTGTCTGACTAAAGCTTTGCTCTCAGACTCGCCCAGCACACATGCCATTGTGCTGTTCCCACAGCCAGAGGCTGACGCGGAGAAAGGGACAGTGTCTAGGAGCAGCTGTAATACATCAGGGCTCAGCACTGCAGAAAGCAGCCAGAAAGCGACACCCTGGCACCTGTCCTGTGCACATGACGTAGCGCTCCCAGGGGAGAGGAAAGAGGAAGTGAATGAAGATTTAGACACATGGAGGTGAGTATGTGAGTGAAAGGGCATGAAAATCGGCAGATGAAATCACAGGTACATGCTCTGTGGATTCAATACTCTCCTTCAAAAAGACTTCAGGACTGTACATTTGGGTCCTGTCACTAGCAAAGCTACAGACGTTTTAGAAGGGGCTAGAGCAAGGACTTATATTTGAAAACACCTTAAGGTGATAAGTAACAGTCAGCATGGATCTCTCAAGTACAAGTTGTGTCAAGCCAACCTGATAGCTTTTGTCGATAGGATATAATAAGCGTTGAGGATGGGGGAAAGCAGTACATGCGGTGTATATTGACTTTAGTAAGGCTTTTCATACTGTCTCCTGGGACCTTCCCATGAACAAACTAAGGAAATTAAACTTCAATGGAGCTACTAGAAAGTGGGTGCATAACTGGCTGGATAAGTGTTCCAGAGTGTAGCTAGCAGGGGTTCGCAGCCAAGCTGGAAGGGCATATTGAGTTAGGTTGGTAGGGATCAGTTCTGAGACCAGTTCTGTTCAGTATCTTCATTGATGATGTAGATAATGCACAGAGAGTGCACTTGCAAAGGCTGTGGACAATAACAAGTTAGGAGGGACTGCAAGTGCTTTGGCTGATAGGATTATCATTCAAAATTATTTGGACAAACTAGAGAAATGATCTGAAGTAAATGGGATGAAATTCAATGAGGACAAATCCAAAGTGCTCCACGTAGCAAGGGACAATCAGCTGCCCATGTACTAAACAGGAAATTCCTGCCTAGGAAGCGGTACTGTAGAAAGGGATCTAGAGTCATAGTGGACCACAAGCTAAGTATGAGCTAGCAATGTAACACTGGTGCAAAAAGAATAAAGAAAACACCATTCTGGGCTGTATTAGTAGGAGTATTGGGAGCAAGACACAAGAAAGAAATTTCCTTCTGCTCTAATCCATGCTTATTAGGCCTCACCAGGAACACCGTGTTCAATTTTGGGTCCCACATCTTGGGAAAAATGTGAACAAATTATTGAAAGTTGAGATGAGAGCAAGAAAAATGAATAAAGATCTAGAAAATGTGACCTATTACGGAAGATTGAAGAAATTTAGTCTGGAGAAGAGAATAGTGAGAGGGGACAGGATATGAGTTTTCAGGTTCATAAAAGATTAGACAGTCACCTGTCAGGGAAAGCTGAGATAATACCTAGTGTTGCCATGGTTGGGGGGACTGGACTACCAACAGCAAAGGTATTTCTCTGGGAATTTCCATAGCGGAGGGGCAAAACACAGGGCAGAATCCCCGACAAATGGATTCAAACGTACCCATTTGTCAGGAAGGGGTACTGTAGAAAGGGATCTAGGGTCATAGTGGACCACAAGCTACATATGAGCTACCAATGTAAAGCTGTGTCTAGACTACAGGGTTTTTTCAAAAAAACGCTCCTGCCTGGGGAGAAATCCCGTTCTCCCCGTCAATAGTTTCAGATGCGGCTGCAACAAACCTCCCTCCCTCCCCCTCTCACTCTGCCTCCCCCCTGCATTCACACTGAGTTTGAGGCGTCCATGGAGGGGATGGGATGATGGGACTCCCTCCGATGGCAGGTGGCCCGTTGCCAATGGCCAGTAGCAAACCCCCAATGGCTGGAGATGGGACACTCAACGGGGAGGGCTCTGAGCTACCCGGATCGTTGCCAGGCAGGTCTTGCCCACGTGCTCAGCGTCTAACTGCTGGGCCGTATTTGGGGTCGGGAAGGAATTTTCCCTCAGCTCAGACTGGCAGAGACCCTGGGGGGGTTTCACCTTCCTGTGCAGCCCTCCAAATAGACCCCAACCCTCAGCTGGAGGTCAGGGGTCAGATGTTAGGGGTGAGTTTGGAATTGGTGAGACTCCATGGCCTGCGATGTGCAGGAGTCAGACTAGAGGATCCGGATGGTCCCTTCTGACCAGGAGTCTATGAGTCCTCTAGCTCCTGGGACCTGGCCCCACACCCATGGAGAGCCTGAGAGGACTATCCCCTCTGGAATCCAGACTCCCTGTCCCTGCCAGAGCCCACTCTTGCACCCTGAACCCCTCCCCCTGAGGCCTCCCCAGCTAGACCCACCCCCACCCCTGCATCCCATCCGCCTTCCCAGGCCGGTGAGAGCCAGTAAGGGAAGGAGGGAGCAGGCCACTGAGAGAGGGGAATGTAGTGAGAGGGGCCTGGGGCCTCTGGAAAGGAACAGGCCGGGGAGTGGCCGGGAGGCCGTGGTGCAGCTGCAGTGGTTGGTCTCTGCTCTTACCAATGTGGCAGCATGGCCAGGGGCAGGGTGGACTGTCCAGAGCTCTGCCTGTTCCCTGCTCCCCAGGGCCACAGGAGGCAGCTCCCTGGGCTGTATCTGCAGTCCATACACAAGGCCCCTTCCCAGGCACAGCGGGGCTCTAGCAGCAGCTGCCTCAGTGTTGTGGCCAAGTGGGGGCGCGCCCGCCCCCCCAGGCACAGGGGGCCTTTGGCAGCAGCTGCCTCAGTGTTGTGGCCAGTGGGGGCCCCTCTGCCCTCCCCATCGCCTCCCTGCAAACCCAGCGATTTCCTGCCAATCCAAACGCCGAGGCAGGGGAGATCCTGCCCAGCCCACACGGGTGGGTCAGGAGAGGATCACGACTGATCACAGCCCCAGTGAGGGGATCAGGGGCCTTTGCTGCAGCCAGCAGCAGCCTCTGGTGCAGCACCAGGCCTGGGATGAGCACAGGGCTGTGGGAGACTCAGCAGGGCAGGGTGGGGGTCAGGGGAGAACTCACCCCGGCAGCTGTTCTCACTGGCGTTCGGGAATCTGGCTTTCCCAGAGCTGGTCTTGTAGCCATCGGCGCAGGTGCAATAGAAACTCCCAGGAAGGTTGGTGCAGTTGGCGTTGGGTCCGCAGGTTACTCCAGGCGGCCACAGACACTCGTCGATATCTGCAACAGGAGGGATTCTCTGCACAGCCCGGCAGGGAGACGTTCCCCGTTTGCCCCCCCGCACTGACCTGGCAGCAGGAGCCCCAGGACTCAGGTGCCCTGAGCATTCAGCAGTCACAGGCCGGATTCACAGCGACACTGAGCCCTGCTGGGCCGCTCTGGCAGCATCATGGTCGCTGACAGCCCCGCATCCTGTGCCGGGGTCTCCCCAGCCAGCCTGGAGCTAGTGTAAGGACCCTGCCCCCTAACCCATCGCACGGGGTAGATTGGGGCATGGCCACACCCCTTGCATGGTGGCTCTTCTCTGCTGCTGAGCCCATGAGGTTAGATCAGGGGAGGGTGACCAAGTATCCGGTTTTCGCCCAAACACCCGGTTGAACAGGGACCCTGGTGGCTCCAGATGGTGCTGCTGAGGGGGCCATTCAGAGTCCGGTCAGTGGTGCTGGGGGGCTCAGGCAGGTGAGTCCCCACCGGTCCTGGCACCGCCCTATGACTATTGGATTCTGATACAAACACGCCAAACATCATTGCAACCACTGTCCTGTGTTGGCTTCTGTGGGATTATCAACGGGATAATCCTCGCCCACCTGTAGCAGGGGGGTTCCCTCCCGGGACTAGCAGCACTTCTCTAACAATGCACCTCGAGTGGGGCCAGCCCACAGGTGAGGAACTTTGCTGTGACCCTGCAGACCAGCAGGTCAGCGACGGCTGCTACGGACTGAGTCCCGCACGGACAGGTGACCTGCTCACATGACACACTCCGATTGGGGAGGTACTTTCACACGGGGGGAACAATGGAATTCCCTCCACAGGGGCAGGGGTGTAAAAGGGCCCCAGAGATTCCTCCGTTTGTCTTCATTCAGCTCATCACTACCAAAACATCTGTGCTATGAACTGAGCTTGGAGGCACTGATGACCCTTCTTAACAGAGGACGTATCCCAGATACTCATCAAACAGCAGATAGATCCATCTCTGCTACCAGCCTGCACCAAGAACAATGTGATTGGTGTGTGTAATTTGATTCCTTTAACAATTTAAATTTCTCTGTCGCTCTCTGTCTCTCCCTCCCTCCCTTCCTGGTACAAATTAACCTCTTCTCTTAGCAAGGGTGCAGGTTGTGCAACGGGAGAGCTGGAGTGTTGATGGGGATTAGATGTGTAACCCCAAGCTGGCCAGTGCGGCAAACAGAAGGTCTCCTTGTGACTGGTTTGGTGCCTCATGCTGGAGGACCCCCAGTCTGCGGCTATAACTTCACCCTGATTTAGCTCTCTTGATGCCACCAGAGACCCTGCTACATCACATGCCCTGGGCCTGGGAAGTGACCAGCGCGTCCAGCTCTGAGGCGAGGGGTCTTGGGGCTGCAGTTGGCAAGAGACTCTTCACACACTTGCCTCAGCCCAGGCGCTGATGCTGTTGGACACAACCGGGTGTAACATGGAGCCAGGTTAGGCAGGGAGCCCGGCTGCACAGCTGACCAGGAGCCCCTTGTGTTAAGCTCACCCATGAATTCTGAGCCTCAGCACCTGTCCCACCCTGAGCCCCCTAAACACAAAAGCCTCTTCTGCATCCCAAACTCCTCATCCCTAAACACCCACCCAAGGGCCAACATCTCCGTCCAGATCCCTCACCCCTCCCACATCCCAACCCCCTGCTCCAACCTGCAGCCCCATTCTGCATTACAAATTCCTCAGCCAGGAGCCCCCTCCTGCACCTCAAACCTCTAAACCCAGCCCAGAGTCTGCAGGGCCAACCAGAGCCCTCGGCCCCTCCCAAATACAAACCCTGTCCCACCCAGGACCACTTCCTGCTCCCTCAACCTCTCGTCTGGCCCCACCCTGAGCCTGCACCCCAGTTACAGCCCCCAGCCCCTCCTGTATCCCAACTGCCTGTTCCAGTCATCGGAAATGAGCAAGGGTAGAAGGAGCAAGGCACAAAGGGACGGGATGTGTGGTGAGTGAGGGGTGGGGTAACACGAGAGGGGCGAGGCAGGGACGTGGCTTGGGGAAGAAGAGCAGCTGCGGTATTTGGTTTTCTGCTCTTAGACAGACGGCGATGCTGATCAGGGTGTAGCCGGGGCACCAGGTGCTGCTCCTGCTCCCTGCTCCCCCGGGCCAGCAGGGACAGCGCACGCTGGGCTGAATCTCTGGCCCACACACAGGGCCCTGTCCCAGGCTCAGGGGACATTAGCAGCTGAGTGCTGGGGGCAGTGAGGGTCCCTCCCTTCCTCCAGAGCCTCCCTGCAAACCTAACGACTAATTCCCAACCCAAAGGCCGAGCCAGGCGAGATCGAGGCCTGTCTACGCTGGGGGAGCAGTCGCTGGTCACAGCTGATCACGGCCCCAGTGAGGGGATCAGAGGCCTTTAGTGCAGCTGGCAGCCACCTCTGGAGCAGCACCAGGCCTGGGATGAGCACAGGGCTGTGGGAGACTCAGCAGGGCAGGGTAGGGGCTAGGGGAGAACTCACCCCGGCAGCTGTTCTCACTCGCGTTCGGGAATCTGGCTTTCCCAGAGCTGGACTCGTAGCCATCGGCGCAGCTGCAGTAGAAACTCCCAGGCAGGTTGTTGCACTTGGCGTCGGGTCCGCAGTTTACTGGATTGGGCCCCAGACACTCGTCGATATCTGCAACAGGAGGGATGCTCTGCTCAGCCCGGCAGGGAGACATTCCCCATTCGCCCCCCCCCCCCTGACCTGGCAGCGGGAGCCCCAGGACCCAGGTGACCGGTGCCCTGAGCATTCAGCACTCACAGGCCAGACTCATTACACTGAGCCCTGCTGGGCCGCTCTGGCAGCGTCATGGCCTCTGACTGCCCCTCCCCCACCCTATGTTGTGCAGGGGTCTCCCCAGCCAACCTGGAGCTAGTGTAAGGGTCCTGCCCCCTAACCCAGCGTAGCGGGTGGATTGGGCCTTGAGCACACCCCCTGCACGGAGGAGCTTTCCTGCTCCCTGGACCAACGGGGTGGTCAGGGCAGAGTGAGCGGCCGGGTGGGCGAGGGCAGGAGCTGAGCACCGTGTGGCCTTGAATACGTGGGGCCCAAGGGAACCGCCTCACTTGCCTTGCCCAAAGGCCGGGCCTGCTCTCTGGGACTGGCTTGGAGCTTTATCCTGGAGGCCCCAGGCATGGGCTGTAAGTAGCTCTGTCTTGAGCGATTCGCCCTGATTTGAGCCTCCCAGTGGTGCCGCCAGAGACCCGCTACATCACACGCCCTGCTCCTGGGAAGTGGCCAGCACGGTTGAGGGTCTATGGGGCTTCTCACGCTGCCTGGACCCTACCGGCCGGTACGCAAGCGCAGCCTCCTACCATGCCTGCCCCAGCCCAGGCACAGAACTTGCTGGACATGACCAGGGCGCAATGTGGACCTGGGACAGGCAGGAAGCCTGGCTTAGTCTCGCTGCCCCGCTGACCACTAGCCCCTTGAGTTAAGCCAGCACCCCAATTCTGAGCCCAATCGCTTGTCCCAACCCTGCACCCCCAGACCAAGATGACCTCTTAGCACCCCAAACTCCTCATCCCAACCCACTCCCCTGCCAACACCTGAGCACAGCTCACTCACCCCCTCCCACATCTCCACCCACTACTTCAACCTGCAGCCCCCTCCCACATTCCAAATCCCTCAGCCCCCACCCCCAGCCCATAGCCCCTCCTCCACCTCAAACCCCTCACCCGAAGTGCACGGCCAAGCAGAGCCCTCAGCCCCTTCCTAATTCAAACTCCCAGTCCCATCCCAGCCCCCGTTCCGGCACTCTGTACCCTTCATCTGGCCCCACCCTGAGTGCACCCCAGTTAGAGCCCCCACCCCCTCCCGTATCCCAGCTGCCTTCTCCAGCCCGGTGAAAGTGAGTAAGAGTGGGGGGAGCAAAGCTCTGAAGGAGGGAGGGTGTAGGGAGTTGGGGGGGGGGTGAGGCCTGAGGGAAGGGGCAGGGCTGGGCAGGGCCTAGGGAAGAAGTGAGGCTACAGTGTTTGGTTTTCTGCTCTCAGAAAGTTGACAATGCTAATCGGGGCCTGGCTGGGGCTTCTGTTGCTGTGCCTGTTCCCTGCTCCCCAGGGCCATAGAGGGCAGCGCCCGCTGGGCTGTATCTGGGGACCCTGCACAAGGCCCCTTCCCAGGCTCAGGAAATGCTCCCCTCCTATGCCAGCCGGACACTGGGAAAGGCTCCCCCAGAGCAGGCAGGGGTTCTGGTTGTATTGTCCTGCACCCAGCCCCACTGACAGCGATTCTCGGCCTTGTGAAACACTAGTGACCCACAGTCCCCTCTCCCCCCGAGTGTCTGGGACATCTGGGGTCGGACGGGGATCCCCGTTACCGTCGCAGGTCTCCAATGTGTCATTGAAGAAGCGACCCCCTCGTGACAGGAATCCCTCCAGGCAGGCGCAGTGGGTGCTGTTCACACACTTGGCATTTCGTGGGCAGATTAGGTCAGGGCAGATCTCAGAGGCACCTGCTGGGAATGGAAACCAGAGTGAGCCGCCCTGCGCCGTCTGCCCCTTCCCCCGGCTCATCTCACGCCCTGCGGGCCCCTGCCCATGCGCTCCCGGCAGCTCTTCGGCCCCTCGTCTCCTACTCGCTCCTCAGCCGGGCTGGGGCGAGCGGGGCCTGGTCACTGGTGAGCACGGTCAGCCCCTCTCACCTTTGTGGATGGAGGGAGGGGCCTGGCTCCAGCCAGATGTAAGGCAGGCAAGGGCTGTGAGTGCTCTGCAGGACGGCTCTGCTAACGGTCTGTGTCCTGCACTGCTGGGATCTGCACTAGGCTGTAAAGCCTTTTCCAAGAGCAGCATGCGGAGCCTAAGCTCCCGTCCCTCTTGGCTCTCGCTGTCATACCACAACCGGGGTCCCATTTCGGGGAACACGTGTCTCCCCCACACAGCCAATGCAGGTGCTGTGCCCATCAGAAGCAGGCAGCAGGTCAGCGCAGGACAGGCATTTTGTGACGCCCTGCGAGCCCAGCATGACAAGACAGGCAGGGGCTGTGGGGGCTCTGCAGGACGGCTCTGGCGGAGCCTAAGCTCCCGTCCCTCTTGGCTCTCGCTGTCATACCACAACCGGGGTCCCATTTCGGGGAACACGTGTCTCCCCCACACAGCCAATGCAGGTGCTGTGCCCATCAGAAGCAGGCAGCAGGTCAGCGCAGGACAGGCATTTTGTGACGCCCTGCGAGCCCAGCATGACAAGACAGGCAGGGGCTGTGGGGGCTCTGCAGGACGGCTCTGCTAACGGTCTGTGTCCTGCCCCACGGCCCGACCCCCACATTTCTGTCCTGGGCTTCCTCATTTCCACAGCTCTGCCGATGACCCTCAGTCCTGGCGATTCTAGTCCTGGGACTCCCCCCAACCACGGTCACAGCTGCACCCCCAATCTGGAACTAGGCCTGAGCTCTGTACCCAGGCAGAGCTGTGCCAATAGGTCTCAATCCCACCCCAGCCCTGCTAGGCCAGCCGGCTAGTACTCCAGTCCCTGCTGTCTGATCCCCAACCCCTGGGCAGAGAGTGAGGCCGAGCGACACCATCAGGAGGCGTGTGAGACTCAGCAGGAGAGTCAGCAGTGAGACTTGGCAGGAGGAGGAGTCATGTTTAAAAGACAGCGGCCTGGGGCAGACTAGAACCTGTAAGCAGAGGGTGACACACACACTGAATGGGTAAATGGACACAGAGGGGCTAAACCTCACACACAGAGAGGGCCAGGCCAATGTTCCCTCTAATTTTCCCCATCCGTGTGCGGAATAAATGTTATTCTGTGCACTGAGGCATGTACAAATGTGAACCACCACTAGAAACACAGGCTGCTGGCTGTGGGCACTCTGCTAATCAGCTGCTGGCACCTGAATCCCTTCTGGTGGCCACCCAAGCGCTCAGCTCACAGGGAACACTAGGCCAGGCCCTCAGCGGGTGTACGCTCGGCCTTTCACTTCAGTCTCGGGGGGTGGCTGTGTTAGTCTGTGTCTGCAAAAACAATGAAGAGTCCAGTAAAACCCACTTCACCGGATGAATGGGAGTGGAAGCTCCACAGGCAGGATGTGGATAAGAAAGAAGTTGCTTGTGTTGAGGCTAATCAAGTCAGGGCAGAAGTTGCACATTCACTGCATTTGGTGGGGGATGTGACCATAGTCACATCCTGCACCTCTGTGATGCGTTAACCAGTTCACGTCCTTCTTCAACCCTAAATCGATAGTGTTGAAATTGCAAATTATCCAGTTCAGTGTCTCCCTCTGAGGCCTCTCAAAAGGTGCTTTACCCTGTGAGCATATTGAGCCCAATGGCTATGGCCCAATAACCATACCTTATCCCTATGAGGCAGTCAGGCCCAGTGGCCACAGTCAGTAAGAACATCCCTTCTGGAACGGCAGTGAGGCCCAGATATCACAGTCAATAATAACATACCCTGCCCTCACGGCAGTGGGGCCTAGCGTCCAGAGTCACTGGCCCTCTCCTCAGAGCAGTGGTCCTATATCCAGCCTCCTTACAAGGAAAGAGCTACTGTTTGCAACCTCTGAGGCTTGTCTAAACCAGCATCTTTCTGCCTTGTCTTTTTGGGACCGTACTGTGCCCCTCATCTCTCTGTTCTGTACACACATATCCCAGGTACCAAGAGCGTGATGGCACCTCCTGGCCTCATCCCACCTCTATCGTCCTTATCTTTGGGGCATTCCAGCAAGAGCAACTGCCAGCCTGTGCCTATGGCAGAACCCCCCATGTGCTCATACTGACAGGTTTCTGGCAAAAGAACAGTTACTTTCCTCGTAACTGTTGTTCTTCAAGACGTGTCGCTCACGTCTAGTCCTTGTAGAGGTGTGCGTGCAGCGTGCACCTGTTGTGGGAAAATTTTCCCCTAGAAGCACCTATCAGGCCAGCAATGGAGCCCTCTGTAGTGGCGCTGCTATACTGGCCAGGATATACCCCTGCTGGCCTCCACGCCCTCGGTTCCTTCTTACCAGATCACTCCGAAGAAGGGGAGGTGGGTGGGATGTGGAATGGACGTGAGCAGCACATCTCAAAGTACAGCAGTTACCAGGTATGGAACCGTTCTTTCTTCTTCGAGGGATGGCTCGTGTCCATTCCATGTAGGTGACTCCACAGCAGAAACCCCAAGCAGCAGGGTCAGAGTTCTAACCTTCCCCTGAATGGAGGACAGCCCTACCCAAGGCAGCATCCTCCTTTGTCTGATGCGTCAGCGTGTAGTGATCAGAAAAGGTATGAACAGAGGACCATGTGGCAACCCTGCAGATATCTAGGATCAGGACCTGCAGCCAGGAGCTACAGTGTAACACCAACCCCATGCCCATGGCATGCGCAGCCTCATCAGCTCCAAACTCAGGCCGAGAATCCCCGGGGAGGAGTTCGGTGAACTTGTCCATGGAGGCCCAGATGTTGTAGGCATAGCAGGACAGCAGAAGCTGCTGGTTCGCTATTTGAAATTGGAGGCCTCCAGATGCGTAGAGGGTTGCCAGGTGTCTGGTTTTAAACCGGACAGTCCAGTATTTGAGCTTTCTGTTCGGGAAACAAATTGAGAAAATAGAAATGTCCGGTATTTTCTAAATGAGATGGAATGTAGATTGTGTTACAATGTTAAGTGTGTCTGGTATTTTTGTTGAAACCATCTGGCAACCCTAGATGCATAGGGCCTTTCTTTCTAACAGGTCCATCTTTTTGGCACCGCTGTTCTTAGAGGTGGCGCCCAGCTGGCCCTGCCTCTCAATCTGGTTCACCGCCTGAACGACAAGCGACCCCAGAGCTGGATGAGGGAAAAGGTATTCATTCCCTTCCTGGGAAACAAAACACCACCACTCGGCCTTCTTGTCTGGTGGTGGAATAGAGGCCAAGGTTTGCCAGAGGGACCTGGAGATTTTGGCCACCATTTTATTGATTGGGAGGGCCACTCTGGTGGGGGTGTCTGATTGCAGGATGTTGATGGTAGGGTCTGAGTCCTCCAACACCTTCTCAGCCTGGACCCCCAGGCTTTGGGCCAGTCGGTGAAGGCAGTCTTGGTGTACCTTCAAGTCCATGGAGGGTATGGAGGGGAGAGTGTCTCCCGGGACCTCATCCAGAGAGGAAGATGAGGACCCCTTTGGGCCTGTCACCACAGGGACCGTGGCCTACGAAGGGCCTTGAGAGGCCACCGACGAGGGCACTGTAGGTGGCTGGATCCCAGGGCCCTTGGTCTCCAAAGGATGAGGGAAGATCTGGCCTGGCGGGAGCAACTGCCCCACGTAGAGTCATTGGGGTCACTGAAGGAGCCACCCTGGACCCAGAGAAGACTGGCTCCGGTCTAGAAGAGCCCGCATCCTGGCTCTGGTGATAGGCCCACGGGGTCCAAAACAGCCATTCAGATGGAGTTGGTGCCAGTGGGGGTCATGACTGCTGCATCCCCAGTACCGGGCCGGCTGTGCCCATTGGGGCAGTTGCTGATGCGCAGAGGAACTACGGTGCCATGATCAGTGATGGGAGTAGGACCAGTGCCGAGACCGGGATCTGGATCCTCTGGACGATCATGGTGACTCCGCTTCTGAGTCGGTGGAGTACTCCAAGGCCGACCAGGGCAGAGCGGAGGTGGATGCAGCCGGTGACCCTACAGTGGGGGGGTGCCGGGCCATCAGCTCTGGCTTGCTTTGGTGCTGATGAGGGGGAGGAGGAGGAGGCATGCCCAGCCCCGGGCCCGGTATGCTCTCGGTGGGGCCGGGGGTCATGGCAGCCAGTGCCACATTTGGTGCCGCTTGAGACCCTTGTCCCAGTGCCAGGTCTTGTGCTGAGGCACAGGCCAGAGTTGAGGTTGCCGCTGGTGCCGATAGCTGGTACCGTTGGGAGGGCAGCACCAGGGCGGTGTTTCCTCGGTTCCGGTGCCAGGGTGCTGGGAGCCCTAGCCTCCGATCGGGTCCCAATCCTTGGCTGAGGGCAGTGCCAAAGTAGGAGAGGGGGAAGTTCAGTCAAGTCCCTGGCAACCTCAAAGGCCTCCAAAGTCGAGGGATCTGGGCAGTACCCCAATGGACTGGGGTCCCAGTGCGGAACAGGTCATTTACCCGACCAAGATAGTCTGGGCTCAGCGCCCGACAGTGCCACATGCCCCACTTGAGCGTGCATGGAGGGCACGCGCGGTGGAGGTGACCTGCACCTGCTGGGCCTCCTCTTTTTCTCAAGCACTGGGAATTGGAAGCGGTGCCGGGGTCTGCGCGGTGCTGGCGAGGCATGCGAATGGCTTGACGCCTCCTGCACCGAAGCTGGTGCACTGTGGGTTGCTGGTGCCAGGTCGGATGCCAGTGCCAGACACAAAGCTTCCTCCATCAGGATGATCTTGAGGTGCGACTCTCTCCCCCACTTCATGTGCAGCTCATTGCAGGAGGAAAACCAGCTAATTTGTGTTAGGGATTTATTTCAAAATCACATTTCACTGCTGCATGTAGACGCAGGCAGTTACCTTGGGCTAGTCAATTTCTAAAATGGCAACCGGCTGGGAACATGCAAATCAAACACGGGATATTTAAACCCCGTGCTTCATTTGCAATTTCAGTTGCCCTCATTAACCTCCCTAGATCAATTTAGGGGCCTAGTGTAGACGTATCCTATGATACTAGAACAAAGAACTTTAATACTGGGTACCAGCGAAAGGGCGTTTGCTAAGCAAGAGCAGAAGCCTGTTCCAACAATCATCATGGGTGGTAAGAAGGAACGGAGGGGGTGGAGGGCCAGCAGGGGTATATACTGACCAGTATAGTGGCATCTTTCCAGGGGGCTCCCCAGCTGGCCCGACGGGTGCTACTAGGGGAAAAATTTCTGACAACACGTGCACACTGCATGCACACACCTACATGGAATGGGCGTGAGCAATCACTTAAAGAAGAATGGCAGGTCCCTGTGGGAATAAGCGTATAGAAACACATAGGCCAGTTCTGGCCATGTAGCTGCTAGAAGTGTGCACATGACACAATGTTATGGGCTTTAAGCGTATACTAGCAATATTAACATATCTAATGTGAATCGTACCCATTGAGCATGCAATATATGACCTTAGCCCAGCATACGCAGTGAACACGTCAGAAATAGATTTAATCCCCCTCAAACATTCAGCTGTTTCTAGTGACTCAGATCCAGTTACCCCAGCCTCCACTACAGAGCTGAGACCCCATCGAGAACTGCCCCCCTGTATCAGCTTCACAGAAGACACACATTCTGCGTGGGGTTTTTGCGATGGGTATAAAAGCGTCGCACACAGCTTTGCGTTCTGTTCCGCTAGCCTGGGAACTTACCTTGAGTGCTCCCTGGAGACAGACAGGGGACAAGGACCACGAGGAGAAATACTTGAGAGAAATAAAAATAAATGTGTTTTTAAATGTTATCCAAACAGAAACGAGCAACACAGAGACAGAGACAGAGACAGAGACAGAGACAGAGACAGAGACAGAGACAGAGACAGAGACAGAGACAGAGACAGAGACAGAGACAGAGACAGAGACAGAGACAGAGACAGAGACAGAGACAGAGACAGAGACAGAGACAGAGACAGAGACAGAGACAGAGACAGAGACGTCTCCTGGCCCTTGTCCAGGGACCAAATTTTGCTGGATGACTCCATTGTGATTCTAGTGTAAATCCAATGAAGTCCGTTCTTCCATTAATAACTGTTTATACCATAGTAAATGCAGGAACCCCGGCTTTGTGCCACTCCCGCAAGCTGGCTTACCCCACTATCTTGAAATTCCTCTTGTGCACTGGCTCCATGTTACGCCCCCCCAACGCCAACCCTGGGCACAGCAGCTTCCCAGAGATGAGTGGTAGGGCCGAGATACTTCTATGCTCTGGCTATTGCCAGCTGCTGAATGGTCCCTTGGGCCTAGGATGCTTCAGGAGAAATCAGGGAAGGCTTTAGGCTGCTTGCAGGCACCAGACTGATCCTGTTATCCCCTGGGATTCAGTGGTTGGGAACGCGGCTGAAAGCATCTTAGACCCATCCAGGCTCTGGTCTCACGGTGAGTCCCTTTGAGCCAGCCCCAGGAATCTGACCCATAAATCTAAGCATGTTTCAGCAAGTCTGGATGGAGTCTCCATTAGTGAAACATGAGCACGGGAGGGAGCAGAGGAAATTGCCTGTCACACCAATGTAGGTGTAAATTTGAGCTCTAGGAGACTTACCTGGGCTTGCTCTGACCAGCTGGCGTATGAGAAACAGAAGTGTGGCCGTGTTTGGGCAAGTAACAGGAGAGGCTCCCTGCCCCGACCACATCCCTGTCCAAGGCCACTGGTAGGCACTCAGGGCAGCTAGCCCCTCCCACCATTATGAGGACACTTCTCTGTGTAGCACGCAGCTAGACGAGAACTAGCCCAGCTGTGTCTTCCCCCGCTGGAGCACACACCTTCCTGCTCTCGTGCAGATGGACACATGGACCCCTCTGGGCTCTCCGGGCCCCACCCCTGAGTCCAGCCCATGGACTTTGTTCCACTCACCCAATGGACGCACGTCCCCGCGGGGTCCCATGGTGGCTCCGACACTCTCAGGAGCAGTTGAGCTCTGAGGGCTCTGAGCTTTGCAGCTTCCTTATTTTGGGGAAATTAGGCAGGAAGCAAAAGTGACTCAAGCCCTTGTTTCAGATCATATCAACCTAGAGTGCCGACACAGCAAAACACTGTCCAGCCTGCCCTGCTCTCCCTCCTGCTGCCTCCCTTATCTTCCAGCCCCATACTCCGTTACTTTGCAGTGAGACCCAATGGGGAAAACCGAGCACAGTGCAGATGGCCCAGCCTCATTTCACTGAATCACAGAAATGGAGAGTTGCAGGGGACCTAAGGAGCTCGAACAATCCACCTCCAGGTGCTGAGGCAGGACCAAGTGGACCTAGAACATCCCTGGCAGGTGTTTGTCCAACCTGTTCTTAAAGCCTGCACTGACAGGGACTCCACAACCCCAAAAGAAACCTTTTCTGCAGTTCTGCTACTGAGCCAGTGAGTCTCCATACCTCCCCGACCAGCCTTGCAACCTCCATGTGGACAAGAGGAAACTAGCACGTTTCCTTAGTTAGAATCAGAAAATACTGTCCCTCTTATAACAACCTTTTACATATTTGCAGTGTTATCAAATCTCTTCTCTGCACAAAACATGCCCAATTCTTTCAACCTTACCTCATGGGTCATCTTTTCTAACCCTCTGCTCATTTCTCTTGCTCTCCTTGCATCTGTACTGTTTGTCCTCATCCTTCTCTTAGATCAGCGCCCAAATCTGGACATGGTACTCCCACACCAAATAGCGTCACCTCCCATCTCTACCCACCCCACTCCGGTTATACATCCCAGAATGACATTTGCCTTTTATTGACAGCCTCAAACTGTTGACTCACATTCTCTTTGTGGTCCACCAGAAACCTCAGACCGGTTTCTGCAGTTCTGCTGCCGAGCCATTGAGTCTCCATAAGTCCCCGACTGGCCTTGCAACCTCTATATGGACAAGAGGAAACTAGCACGTTTCCTTAGTTGGAGTCAGAAAAAACTTTTGAAATTGTACCGCTTTCTGACCCCATCCACTAGCTTGGATGCCTATGAAGGAAATTGCCTCGCTTTGGTATGATTTGTTCTTGACAAATCCATGTTGGCTGTTGCTTATCACCTTATTATCCTCGAAGGTTTAATAAATTGGTTGCTTCATCATTCCCCAGTTCTGCTCTTTTTTCAAGACAAGTACCATGTCTGCCCTTGTTAGGAACCTCACCCATCCTCCATGAGAGCTGGAAGATTATTACCAATGGTTCAGAGGTTGCTTTGCCTAGTTTCTTAAGAGCTCTAGCGTGAACATTGTCTGTCACCACCAAAATGCATAGATTTAACTTAGCTCAATAATTTTTGTTAATCTAGCTATTGTTTCCCTATTCTGGCCCGTGTTCCTTCCCTCTCATTAGTATTAATGGGTGTTATGGCTCTGGTCACAATTAACGGTTTCAATCCTGTATTCAGGAAAACTTAAGAAAGCCCACACTGAGTGGCTGGTTGCTGACATACTGGTCAGAGATTGCAGTGGGCTGGGGTT